ATTTCCATGTAAACATAAGTCAGCTCTGAGTTTATTCCACTTCTTTTCTTCTTTATTAACAGATCTTGAAAGTCGTTACTATAAACATTTCCAGTCTCCCAAACTTTTTCTCTTCTGTATGTCTGCATACTAAAAGTGTTCAAGTAAGATAGTAGTTTAGAGGCTTCTTTGTGAATAACACTGCTGTCGAATTGAAGGTGCAGTGTTATTCGTCAGTGACTACAGACATCACTATCTCCATACAAGCACAAGCTCACTCCAGTACTGGTCTTCAGACGCAATGCACCTATAACTACTAGAGAAGAAAAAGCGTCACAAAGGGTATGCTTATAGAAGTATCAGGACTTTATACCCCCAACCAGTGTCCTTTCCTGCTGAAAAGCACCAGAGATTCATTACCCAAAGCACGTGTTGAGATTTTCTTTCTATACTTACATTAAAGTCTAAATAGCATTAGGAGAGGTAAAGTCATGACATAAATTCACAAAAAAGTATAAATAATGGACAGCTAGTAAATCCTGTATAGTAAATTTCAACAGGATGCTGCGTAAGTTTATCTTACAGGCCCTTTTATCTAAAAGGGGAGTAAAAGGGGAGAGAGTAACATAGGAAATGTAAAAGTTACAAAAATAGAAACAGTTTTTGAAAAAATGGTCAAGACTGATATCAGGGAATAATAACTGAAACACACACACACACACACACACACACACACACACACACAAAACACTGAAGATTGGTGAGGACTTTCTAAAAGTTATACATTTTCAACGTAAAATGTATAAGCCATATATTGAAAATATATTAAGCAAACAGAAATAAATTGATATAAAAAGGTAACTGACTAAATGAAATAAACCACCTGACCACTAAAACAAAGTAAAATTATACATACAGTCAATTTTCGGTATTCGTGGTAGTTCAGTTCCACAGTCACTGAAAACATAGAATTAGTTGATACACTGTTCCCGCAGAAATACTAGTACTCTTTAGGTTCCTGCAAACTTCTGGTAACAAAGTTTTTGTCAAGCCATCAATGCCTAACCTTGTTTTCTGTGTGTTTCTGTTTAAAGGCACCGTGATGTATACCGTCAACTCATTAACACTGAACTCATGGCCAAAAGCACTATAACTTATACCCAAATGATGCTTGTCTAACACATTTTCTCCATAAGGCACATCAGAACTGGGAATGTGCATGTCAGTTGACTCAAATATTTTGCTGCTCTGTCTCTGTCTATGGATAGCTCAGAAGCACTGTGAATATTATTTGAGGGTTACAAATAAGTTTTAGTGAGTAGGCAAATGTGTAAATACAGAATCTGTGAGTAATAAAGATATACTGTACCTGAAAATTAATGCTGATTTAGGGTTCATTTGTGTGATACTAGGTTAATAGCATAAGTTCAGTTCCCTAATCTAAAAATATTTAAATAGTATATTAGGATATCTCTAAATCCCTTTTCACTTATGAATTTCATAGAACCCAGGATCTCTAGTTAAATTCAACCACACCGCACACTAGATCCTCTATAAACCAAACCTATCCAGGCTTATTTCCTTTTGTATGAAAACTTACATACCTCTAATAAAGGAAGGATATGTTAATTTCCACCTACCAATCATGTGTTCCCACACTCACATATACTTCATTTATCCATCCCTCCCATTATCAAATATTAATCTTGCATCCAGTGATGCTAGAGATACAGTGATCAATAAGGCATGTAAGATTCCTACCCTCTGACGATTATATCTAGTGAGAGACAAACAATAACCATGTAAGCAAATCCATAACTAATTCCAAAAGATGTAAGTGAAGTGAACTAAACTAAACCATAATAATGGTTTGTAGGCAATTGTAGGTAAGAAAATATTTTAAATTGAGTTACCAGGCAAGGACTTTTTAAAGAGTTTATGATTAAGAAGTAGAACTTTTAACAAAAAAGATAAATAAATAGATTAAACTTCATTCTAAGGAAAAGGGAAAAAATCTGAATTAGGTAAGAGAAGAGGGAAAAATGCAAAGATCTAGAAATTGAAGAACCTCAATGCAAATGCTGTGACATGGGAGTAAACTTGGCATTTCTGAGGAAAGGAAGGAAGGCCCAGAGGGGCTGGCATCAAGAGAGGAGCTTAGGACAAAATTGTGGCACACATTGTTCCATGATAATTAAATCTGTGTTCTATTTTAGATATAATAAAAAAAAACCTGAAATAGGGTAGTGTTATGATCTATCTTATATTATAAAAGTGTCATTTTGGCTGTGTGGAGAACAGGATGTGTAGGGCCAGGATAGAGCTATGAGAAGGGGCAGTGTTGGCACCAGACTGGTGGCCAGAAAGTAGGTATCAAGGGGTCATATATGGAACATGTTTTGAAGAAAAAAATAAATGAAATATGCTGATAGAGAAAAAGTAGAATTAAGGATATTCTTTGAGTAAATAGAGACTCACTAAAATAATAAACATAAAAGGCTAAGTGACTGTTTGACTATGCAACTGGTGGCTATGACACAAATTGACCGCCAAGGGGGAGACACTCAGTGCAGGAGCTGCCAAGCTGTGGTGACTTGGCAGTGATTGTTCTTAGGTGACGCACCCGGGAACCAGAGAAGAGAGAGCCTGATTCCGGGGTGTGTCACCTGAGAACTGCCCTCTCACAATCTAGGACCCCTCGGGGGATGTCGGAAAGCTGGTTTTGGGCCTGATCCTCGCAAGCCAGGCAGGGGGACCCCACCTGCCAGAGGGACCCTGCTCACTCCACAGACACCCTTCAAGCCGCAGGGCCACCCCAAGTGCAGTTGTCAGGGCGGGACCACAGGTGGTTGGCTCCAGGGCATGTGTGGCCCATCTTGCCTAGTTCCGCTCCACTAGCCACCTTCTAATTAATTTCCTTTCAATGTGCATGAATCTGTGCACTGGGGCACTGGTACTGAAATAAGGAAAACCAAAGAAGAGTGGCTTAGTGAGTAAGACAATACAAAGGTTTGGTGCTCGTCATTTAAAGATAAGAGGCTTATTAGACATTAAAATATACCTAGAATATAAATGAAGGAGAAAAAAAAAAGACATAAGAAAATAAATCAGCCCAGCTGGCATTGCATAGTGGTTGAGAATCAACCTATGAACCAGGAAGTCACAGTTTGATTCCTGGTCAGGGCACATGCCCAGATTGCAGGTTCAATGCCCAGTGTGGGACAGGCAAGAGGATCAATGATTCTCTCTCATCATTGATGTTTCTATCTCTCTCTCTCTCTCTCTCTCCTTTCCTCTCTGAAATCAATAAAAATATATTAAAATTAAGAAAATAAATCAAAATTAATAAAGAATAGGAACTAGAGATAATAATAAAATGTACTGTGAGCCAAACTATGACATAAGATTTTTTCAATCCTAAAGCTTAGTAATAATATATTTATTCACTCAATCAACAATCAACAAGTATTTATTGTAACTACTCTGTGTTAGGCATGGTTCTAAGTGCTTGAGATGTGTAAATCTTTCCTACTTGTCCTTTGTACTATCTTAGTTTTTAGACACAAGGAATGAATGCATTTTCTGACATCACTTCTATAATAAAATTCCATAAGTCATTGGACTATATATTAAAAGAGAGTCCTCTGCTTAATTTTCACAATATCACAACATATAAGTAAGGAGGTTACTATGTAGATAATTTTTCAGTAAACCAGTTGTTTTGTTTTCTAAATAGCAGGCAAATCCTACCCAATTTTAGATTTCTGTTAACAATAAAATGCTCTAATTTGAATAATAATATTTATAATCTCATCATTCCATTGAAATAATAAAATGCAAATGTGAATCAAATGATCTCAGAACCACGGTTTCCAAACATGCAAAATGGATGAAAGTATAAACATCACGACCACAGCAGAAAAGATAACTTTTTCATGATAAAAAAATGTATGCCTTGGGAAATCAAATGGTACATGCAAAATGGCAGGGATGAGTCTCAAAAAATATATTACACAGCTTGCAGGCGGGGGTGCAATATTCTCTGGGTTTCTGAGTAAGTAATGCCTGGATTCCCCTGGTGCCCCTGCTGTGGGGACAAAGACATCACCACGGTCACTGCACTCAGCACACCCTGGCAGCCGATGGGGTTCCCTCCTGCCTTCTACTTGCTTGGACAGTGAACCAGCCTTCTAATCTGTGAAATACTAATCTCCAGTTGTGGTATCTGGAGCCCTCTGCCTGGACCTACCACCACATCGCATCATTCCTTCCCATTTCACTTGGGCTCTCAATTTCTAGACTGGTTTTTGCCTTAAACATACTCTGAAGTTCTTGGTAACTTCCCTATCGCTTGGCCTCTAATCCCTCAGTTCCTTTGACCTCAATAAATAAATGAATGAATGAATGAATAAATAAATAAATAAATAACTCATTAGCTAGTATGGCATTCTCGGGCCCAGACTTTGCTCCAGAATTCTGACTAGTCTTCTGTTTATTCTGCATCACCTGGTGCTGATCTCTTCTTCGATAACTATTTTTCATGAAGGCAAAAGCTCCTAAGGACACTTAAATCCCTCTTTCTGATATAAACGCTTTTCCGTGTAATGGCAAAAATGGATTCCCCCCGCAAACGACAACAAAAAAGAAAGTCTACCTTTTAACCTCTTAGTTTAGAAGAGAAATAAAAGTTCTATTATTTAATGGACCTTTAAAACAGCTCTGTGAAACAAGCCTGTGCATTTGTCAGAAGAAACCATTGTCAGTACTTCAAACATTCTGATTCAAACAGCACAGATAATGTAAACGCACTTTAATCTTCTTGCAAAAGTCTGCAACAAGAGAAAGGATGGGAGGAAAAAAACACATTGGCTCTTGATGTTACATTTTATAGGCAATCCTTTGCTTCTTGGCTGATTAAAACGCTGATTCTCTGGTTCTTTGCTTATTTAATGAGGATCCCCTTAAATGCCACTGTCATTTATAGAGCATACACTCCAAGAAGGTTGACTAAAAGACTTTACCTCAAAGGCCTGAAAGGTCAGCCCGACATAGTAGCCTTCAGACACCGTTATTTTCCACACGCATTCTTTCATCGGTCTGTAATCATCGGGATAATTAGGAGACTGGATCTGTCCTTCATTTTTACGTATCTCACCTCCACAGATTGCTGGGAGAAGCAAAGTAAATAAGTAAATCTAGACATGACATTTCATTCTCTTCTAAAAATAACATTTTAGTTCAGTGCCTGTAGCTGAGTAATTCCATAAAAACCAGGTTATAAAAATCCAACTTGGCCAGTTATACTGTTGTAAAAATTTAGATGGTAAAAATAAATAAATAAATAAATAAATAAATAAATAAATAAATAAATCCCCCCAAATTCTAGCCATTTAACTATAAATATTAGATAGTAGTCAGCACAGGCATAAGTGCTTTTTAAACCACCAAAACAAAAAGCATATTTTTAACACTTAAAACCTTGAGAGATTTTACAAGTTTCGTGCGAGTCTGCTCTGTGGTTCCCTGAGCTGCTTCTTTCGGTGATTTGACCTCAGGTAAAAGAGCAGACCAGGAGAGAAGCTGCACAGAACTCTGGTCCCTGGCCATGGGCTAATGTCATGTGCTCAACATCTGTGGCTCCTTCCAAATAATCCTTTTCACTGCCGTGCAGTTAATCTTTGAAACAAAATGCCTCCTTTTACTTAAATGTTTAAGGGAAGCAGAAGTCTGCTGTCTTCTACATTTCCTAAGCCCCTGTCTGAGCAGAGGCAGGAGCAAGAAGGGCCTCCTCCACCCACAACCAGGCAGGCGCAGAGCAAGCCAAGAGCACAATGCCAGTGCATTGTCTTTGAGGAGGAGAGAACAGAGCGCCCGGCAGATTCTTCCCTGAATGCTGACCCTCTCCTTTAGACAAAGCGTGCTCCAGAATGTGCACAATCACTTTCTGTGCAGTTTCCTCTAACAGAGCATTTCAGCAGGGCAGGCACCAGACAGACACAAAGTCAATTTGAAGGAAAATGATAAGTTCCTCACAATAGTCTAATATTATCATGAAAAAAACAAACAAAAAAAACAACCACCACCATTTGCAGTTTAAGAACTCTTGTGCCCTTTTCCCCCCAGTACACATCCCTGAGTTCATTTATATGTTACTACATGTACGGTACTAAAAATGCAATTTACATTCACTAAGTATTTTTATTAAAAAATCATCCTTGTGAATATTATAACACAAAGTTTCAAAAACTTGTAATTAAAATACAGCTACAGATAGTGTGCTGAGATTGTATTTATTTATTTATTTATTTATTTATTTATTTATTTTTCGGGTTTTATTCTGGTATATTTTTGAGAGAAAGCATATTTCTATTAAGAGCTACTTAGAGAGGAAGTAACCTGTAAATCTCAATGTGACTTGCCTTCATAGAGAGCTGCAAAGCCTTTTCCTACCCAATTACTGCTGCTCCGAAACTCTATCCACATTCTGCTGTCTGTAGAGGTAAGAACTTCAGGTAATTTGTCCCCACAGAATCTGCCTAAAAGAAATAAAATAATAAAGAGAGAGACTCCTAAATATGACTCTGTATTCTAATTGCTTTCTACAGTAATTATATATATATATATATATATATATATATATATATATATATATGACCTGATTTGGTTCCTATGACTATCCTTAGTAACTAGAACCATAACCACACCTTTCTATTTACTTACTAGTGGTAGATAAATAAACCAATCCTTTGTGTCTATTTATAAAATATTAGAGCATATCCTCAGATTAACCACCTGTCAGAATCTTTATTCTGTAGAATGAAGAAAGTTCTAGCTAGTTCAAAGACATACTTGTAAAAAGTCCTGTGGGGCCATCAAGGTGGGAATATTATTCTATGAAGAACAGAAAAGAAGTATAAATGATGCTGAGAAGCCCATTTAAATTGTCAGTCTGGTCATTCGTAACTTGGTTAAGGCTCTGCCTCAGCTCAAAGTGGAGTTCCTTGTCTAGCCAGGCTCAGTGATGACTCATCAGAGCGGCGGACACACTGCTCCGAGGTTCTCATGCTACTGCATACACTCCATCTCATCTATGACGCCACAATCGGCAGTGCTAGTAGGCAGAATGGCAAGTAGTATCAGAAAAATGGAATATAAGCTCTAACATTTTTATAACGGTGTATCCATAGGCAAGAAAAATACCAAAGAACATAATAAATCCTGTCATGTCTACTTTCTTCCCTCAACCCTCCACAAATACTCAGTACTGTATGTCTGCCACTGTGCAGTAAAATTTCATGAGATAAAAAAATGGTTAAATTCCATAAATAACAGAATGGACAAGGCACATGAAATTATTCTACAAACAATAATATATTGTATTCCAATTTTTGCTTGCCCCTGGTCATGATGTCCTATATGGCTTTAGTATATTTGAAATGGCAGTCAACGTGAAACAAATTCATAGTAATGGCCAACAGGTGAGGGACTGTGTTCCTAATTGGCAAAGTACAAGTTGGGCATGTGAAACAGTGAAATGTTTCTTTAACTGTAATGTGCCTATGAATTGCCAGGGAGTCTGTGAAATACAGTCTCTAGTTCAGGAGAGATGGTGTGGACATAAATTTCTACATTTTTAACAACCTTGCAAGTGATTTTGATGTTGCCAGTCCGCTGGAGGAACAAGGTTTTGGAAAAAATGGTGGGGAGAGCTTTCCACAGGAAAACTGGGGTCCGACCAGGGCAGTGTGGATCCTCAGACACCACTGCTTGATGGTGCGCTTGGAGGAAGTGTTCTCCAATGTTTTAATTTATAGTTGATTCTCCAATATGAGTTCAGCGAAATGTTTTCTTTGGGACATACACACATGCATCACAAATTGCTTCATCTAGGCCAAGAATCCAAATGTCTCTGAAAATGTTTTCCTCAACCTCACTTCGTTCGAACCTTTATGTCTCCTCTTTTTTTAAACATTTCGACGGGGCTCTCTCTTGGACTTTCTAAGGCTGCCGTCACTTTTAATAGAACAGTGTCCATGCAATAGATTTGAGATGGTAAGAAAAAAAAAATCTGTATGGTACATAAATGCAACTGAGCAAAGCTACTTCTAAGAATAAGGGTAAAGTCACAATTTTTTTAAAAAAATTAATAGATGCTGACATGCCAACAGCTCTCACCTTCATGTAAAGCAGGGCAACAGGAAAATGCCTCATGCAAGTTAATGGTGGGGGCTGTGGTTTCACGTTGGCAGAATTCCCTGAGCATCAAATCTGAGCTATGATTTATGACACAAACTACAGATGTCTCTTCTCAGCCACAATAAACTCTCTGAGAAGCAAAACTGTGTCGTTTACAGTACCAGCTAATGTGTGTGGCACAGGAAACCAGGTAGCAAGTGCTGTATCAAACAGCTCACATTCTGTTGCCTGAGCAAGCAAACACACACACACACACACACACACACACACACACACACACACACATACACACACACACACACACACAAACACACACACAGACACACACACTTTACCTGATCTTCCCATTAAAACTATGATTTCTTTCTTTTTTTAAAAAATATAATTTATTGATTTTTACAGAGAGGAAGGGAGAGAGATAGAGAGTTAGAAATATCGACGAGAGAGACTCATTAATCAGCTGCCTCTTGACCTCCCTCTACTGGGGATGTGCCCGTAACCAAAGTACATGCCCTTGATCGGAATCGAACCCGGGACTTTTCAGTTCCCAAGCCGACGCTCTATCCATTGAGCCAACCTGGTTTCGGCTAAAACTATGATTTCTAAAATTAAAACTACAGAAACACTGTGATGAGTAGTCACTATAAGCATAATAGATGTGAACGCTACTTTAAGTTATTATATTAAATCAGATTTGAGTACTACCTCATATTTAAAGCTAGTTTAAATCAATCTATTTATTTGTCATACTTTTGCTGTGGTTTAAAAAAGAATAGTAAAATGAATATGCTGGTCACATACAATTTTAACTCTAAGGTGACTCTTGAAAGAATCAATAGTCTTTAAGCAGGACAGACTATGTGCATGGACGCAGAGAAGAAAATTGATCTCTTACCAAGGAGAGCCGATTTCCTCCAGTACCCATCTCTCACTTCAATGTAGTCATACCAGCACAAACTACTTTTGTATAAGTCCATCGTGGTAAAATTTAAAACGATCTGCAAAACAAAGCGAAACAGCACCAAGTAAAAATGACTGTAACTGCTCGTGGTGATTTGATTCTTGGAGGTTAGGAAATCAGGGCTATTGTGAAAACAGATGCTATTTTTTTTTCTACATTAGTATTCTCTTAATTATTTTTCTTTACAAATACCACACACACACACACACACACACACACACACACACACGAACACCACTCTGATTTTCTCATTCTCACTAATGTTCAATAATATAAAAGCAGGAATATTTTAGCAACTAAAGCACAGTTTCTGTAAATTTTACCAACTGTAAAAAAAACAGAAACCTTCATTCATATAGTTTATTTTGAATTTTCTAAGATAAACATGACTTAAACCATGAAACATTCTGATTTTGCCATAAATGTCCTTTTTAATAATTTATTTCAAAGATGATCAGATATATATAACCTCATTAAAAATAACCACCATGTGCCATATTCCAAGTACATAATATTATTTATATGTGTTGAAATATTCAAGAACAGCTCTAGAATTTGAATTTGTCCATGTAACTATAATCAAAGGCAGATGTCACTATGCTTCTCTAGATCCAAGAATATATATTCAAAGACCTTTCAAGTTAGTTCATGCACACGACTCTTTATTCTGTACTTTGTTTTGAAATGCTGCTGCTTTTTGTGATGATAATTCAAAACAGCTCTTGGCAAGATAATTTTCTAACTATTTTATAAAGAGACTTTACTTTTCAAATTCTTCATTACATCCAAAGAAGAGTCAAACTAATGAGAAACTCACCTACCTAATGAAAAAAAGTACATTTGGAAAATATTTTTTTATATTTGAAAACTCATTCTGGCCTAGCCAGCGTGGCCCAATAGTTGAGCATCAACCTATGGACCAGGAGGTTATGGTTTAATTCCTGGTCAGGGCACCTGCCTGGGTTGCAGGCTCAATCCCCAGTATGAGGCATTTAGGAGGTCATTCAATGGTTATCTTTCATCATTGACATTTCTATCTCTCTCTCCCCCTCTCCCTTCCTCTTAAAAGTCAATAAAATACATATTTTTAAAAACCACAACTTATTCTAACTCTTTTCTGTTGAAAACAGTTAAGATAATTAAAACATTTGATTAATCTGTTCTTTATTCCAGAAAATGAAAGTGTCTTTGGCTATAAGCAACAAATTATAATATGAAACTATAGTTTGTAACACTACACAAAGAATCTTTTTGTGATGATATAAAAATCTAGATGTAAGAGAACTCTCAAGGAATGACTAAAAAAAAAGAAACAAGAAGACATACCAATTAACCTGAATCCACATTCAAGAAATTACTACCATGTACTCTTCTTTCTTGATATTTAACAGGAAGTTAAGTACTAAATTAAGGCAAACCAATCCTTACCTACCTTTTTCCAAGAATGAAGATACAACATAATAATAAATAGTTTTCATGGCACCTTATATACCTGCATCACAATGATCACCCATAATACTGTATAGCAGAGCTGGTTATATTTGCATATGTAAATAACCATTTTATGGAAATAGAAACTAAGAATTTATCAAACTGCAATGAAAGTCAATTGTACATAATAATGGCATTAACATTTCACCATTGAATTGAATACATTTCAATTACTTTAAATGTACTTTCTAGATTACAAAGAAATGAAGTCTACTAAGGATGTAAAAATAGAGACACACTTTAAAAAATGTAATACAGTAGATGAGGCATAATTTGGTTTTAAGAAAATGATTCATTTATTTTTATCAACCTTATTCATAGTTTTTCTTTTTCCTTTGCTTTTCTTCTCTTGCACCTAATTTTATCATTCCAAATATCTTCAAAAATGTTTGCAAAAATATCCAAAAGAGCCAAGGATATAAGGACTTATCTTTTCTTTTCTTTGTAAATAATCCTCAACAGTTGACTATCAAAATGCATTATTTCTGAACTATTTTTCTAAAGATCCCAAAATGTTTTTCCTCTATTTCTGAATACCAATACAACATTAAGTCATTCTTAGGACATAATTGGGAAATAATTTCTGGTTTTTCTCAGGGAATACTACCAGTGTTAAATTTCATTCGCATTTGTATTTCACATATGGCAATCACAAGGGATTCAAGTCACAAGAATTCCTTTACTACAGCAGAGTTGGCACAGCTAGAATACAGACACGAACAGTAGACCCCAAGGCTTATTTTCTGCCTTCCTCTTGGGTTTAAAGGGGGTTTTATACTGGTGTAAAAATAATTCAACCTCCTCCTCAAGGGGTAAAAAAGGTGAGCTAAATTGGAAGTATGTATATCATCCATTGTTATTCAGAATTGAAACAATGTGTTTGGATTGCTAACAAATAGTTAATATTTGAAGTCTGGAACACACACAAACACACACACATTTGGAAGGAGAATAACTTGAAACAGAAAATTTTCCTATCTTGTTTTTGAATCTTCTATTTTAAACAGCAAGCACCAAAGAGAAACAAAACTGGCTTACTTTAACATAAAACACAAAGCCCGTTCAAAGCAGAAAATGTATTAAAAATACATTTTCTGAAAATCAAATCGGAGGGCTCTGATGTAGAAATAAAATGCTGGCCCTTTCCTAAAGTTGCTACCAGAATCCATACATGAATTACAAACCATAAGCACAGGAAAATATTTGATTGTTTTATATTATACTATTATATCCAAATATGTTGCATCTTTTTTTTCAAAGAATGGCAAAATAAAAACTACTGAGAACAATTACATAGATGTTTTATTTCTTACAAGTATTATCATTTATTGATGTAAGATTACCCATAGTTCTCTTGGAAAAGGTGATTGAGGGAGATATAAGGAACAACTTTAAGATTTCCCGTTATCAATCAAGAGTTTTATTTGTTATTCTGTGAAGTTAAATTGATATAATTGTGGTGGAGTTTGCTTATTAAAAACTGCTTTCCAATGATGTAGAAAAAGTGAAGAATATTGAAGAAAGATGGATCAATAGTCTAGGGACCAGGTGTTTGTAAGTCTTTAGAGGAAGATGTAAATCAATGAACTTTTGTCAGAATGATGAAGATGTTATTGATTACCTAAACTAATTCCATGAGAACCATGGAAAGATCAACTAGAACATTTATACCTTATTGTGCTGAGGATGGGGAAGATATTACAAATCTTGTCAATTATACTGATAGTATGAAGTAGTTATTTGGAAAGAGATATTAGAATCAAAAGCAGTAAATTAAACAGATTTCTGGCCTTAGCCAGAAGCAACTTATGAAAGTCTTATAAACTCCCTAGGGAAACTATAGTTTTCTTCACAGAAATCAGACTTAGAGTAGGAGCAGAACAGGGATCAGCAAACTATACACAATGCACCAAACCCAGCCCAGAGCCAGTTTTTATAAAGAAAGTTTTGTTGGAAACATTCCTTTACATATTGTCTAGGACTAAAGAATAGAACCAAGTATTAGAAACAGACGTCTAGCCTGCAGAGCTAAAAATATTTACTGTATATCATTTCCAAAAAAAAGTGTGCCAATTCCTGGAATAACTGATCATTAAATTTTTGTTCAGCTTTGAACTGTATCATGCTAAAGGGAACAGTTTGCATCTTTTCCTACATCTAGAAGCCTACTGTGATTGGGAGTCAGAAAGCCAGAATTAAAGTTCTAGCTTCTCAGTTTGTTAGTTTACTTAAAATTTCTGAGTTTGAATGAATTTTATCACTGTAAAATGGAGGTCATCATCTCAAGCTGAACTCAGCACAATTAAATCTGAAGGACTTATTTGGATAATGTGTAGAAAACACTAATAATCTCAAGTATTGTTAAGATTCTCCTATAGTATTATTATTTCCATGGTACATATTCAGGCATCTCTCACAATATAAGTGCTAAAACAGTTATGAAAAAAATAATCCAATTTACTTAATCCAACAATACTGGGAAACAAAAATATAGGCTCAATTTTGTACTCATAAATCCTTACCTGAAGACATTTTTAAAAAACATATATATTTTATTGATTTTTTACAGTGAGGAAGGGAGAGAGATAAGAGAGTTAGAAACGTCGATGAGAGAGAAACATCGACCAGCTGCCTCTTGCACACCCCCTACCGGGGATGTACCTGCAACCAAGGTACATGCCCCTGACCGGAATTGAACCTGGGACCTTTCAGTCCGCAGACCGATGCTCTACCACTGAGCCAAACCGATTTCGGCCCGAAGACATTTTTTACATTGATTATTTTTTAAGGAAGAATGGAAGGGAGTGAGGGAGAAAGAGAGGAAAGAGAGGAAAGAGAGGAGAGAGAGAGAGAGAGAGAGAGAGAGAGAGAGAGAGAGAGAGAGAGAGAGAGAGAGGAAGAAGAAGAAGAAGAAGAAGGAGGAGGAGGAAGAGGAGGAGGAGGAGGAGGAGGAGGAGGAGGAGGAGGAGGAGGAGGAGGAGGAGGAGGAGGAGGGAGGGAGGGAGGAAGGGGGAGGGGGGAAGGGGGAAGGGGGGAGGGAAGGAGGAAGAAAGAAACATGGATGTGAGAGATACATATCAATTGATTGCTGCCCACAATCACTCTGACTGGGGTCAGGAATTGAGCCTGTAAATGAGGCATGTTTGACCACAATCAAACCCTTGACTTTTCACTCTGTAGGCGGATACTCTAACCACTGAGCAAACTGGCTAGGACACTATAAGATCAACTTTAAATTTTCTCAGGAAAATCAACATGTCAAAATAAATGATTTTTACTTTAAAATATAAAGGATGGACAAGAAAGCTTGTGGCCTTGGTTCAAGGCCTTGCCTTACAACAGACTCAGATAGATCCCAAATAGTTGACTCAGATAGATCCCAAATTCCGTCTGGGATTAACTATATGATAGGTGAGAAATAGGAGTTAAATTATGCCATGGAAATAATTTTTCTGCTTAAACATATGTGATATCTGTATTTTTAAATTTTGATGTCACTGTCAACTAACTCACAGGGTCTTTTAAAAAATGTAATAGATTTTATTATTTCTGAAGTCATATATATACATTACATAATTAGTAGAGGTTTCATTCAGTGATTATATACTTTGCTGCAAATAGTTTGCAGAAATCTCATTTGGTACAAATTAATTTTTTGTTATATTTTGTATATATATTTTATTATTGCTGACACTATTACAGATAAAACCCATTTCCCCCACCCTTACCCACCACCACCCAGCCTCTGCCCTCCTCTCTCCTGGCCTTCACCACACTGTTGTCTGTGTCCATGGGCTATGCATATATGCTCTATCTCCCTTTCCTTAATTCCCACTCCAACTTTATATCCAGTCATTTACAATTTCTATAGATGATACTCTGAAAAAATGTTCTCCTCCTTCCTTTTTCAGCCAGTGCTCTCCATGTTTTTTCTGAATAAACTGCACTAACTCCAAGATCTGAGCTCTCTTATCTCTGCAAATCCAGGATAAGTTGTATCTTACTTTCATCAACTATTTTTCAGAGCTTGCCTATGAAATCACTAGGCTTTGTCCTTGATATATGTCCATAAGATTCCTGATAGCAAAGATTTCTTTCACACACCAGAAGACACATTTTAATGGAATCAACAATTTATCTATACAGTAATTGCTAGTTTTAAACAGTGCTTTTGCCAATATAAACATTATATTGTAAATTGACCCCATATGTGTAAACCGTTAGATGAGTGGTTAACAAGACTTTTTTTTTTTTTTTTTTTTTTTTTGCAAAATTAAAGTAGTCAAATGATAGCTTTTAAATGGGTTATACAGGAAAAGAAAAAACTGCTAACTGTATTCAATATGTAAGAAGTCTATCCTTGTTAAAAGATCAATCAGTTTTGAGGGATGGAAGAATCGATACTGTGTGCTTTTATCAGCTCAACAAGGCTACATTCTCGGCTGCACAACCTGGACTGTTACCAGCACGTCCTGTGCAACATCAAAAACAGCCTCAGATTGGACAGGACTCTGTCTTTACCTTGGCAGGCTTAGTCTTACAAGACAAACACATGCACTGACAATCTTATTTTGTGTGTGTGTGTGTGTGTGTGTGTGTGTGTGTGTGTGTGTGTAGTAAAATAGCCTATATAATATAGAAGTAATATGAAAATTGACCCTCATGCTCTCTCACAAGATGGCCACCACAAGATGGCCAGTAGGGGAGAGTAGTTGTGAGCAATCAGGCTGGCAGGGGAAAGCATTTGGGGGCAACCAGGCAGGCAGGGGAGGGCAGTTGGGGGCAACTGGGCCGCCAGGGGAGCAGTTAGGCATCAATCAGGTTGGCAGGGGAGTGGTTAGGAGGTGATGAGGCTGGCAGGCATGCAAGCGGTTGGGAGCCAGCAGTCCCGGATTGTGAGAGGGATGTCCGACTGCCAGGTTAGGCTCGATCCCTGAGGGGTCCCAGATTGGAGAGGGTGCAGGCTGGGCTGAGGGACACCCCCCCTCCAGTACATGAGTTTCATGCACTGGGCCTCTAGTACATAACATGAAATTTGCCATTTTAACCATTTCAAGTGTACAGTTCTGTAGCATTACGTTCATTCATATTGTTGTACAACAATACTTTCATTTTTTAAATGACATCCTCCCCTGGCTGGTATTGTACAGTAGGTAGAGTGTTGGCCCAAGCACCAAAGGGTTGTGGGTTCAATTCCCTGTCAAGCACACATACCTGGGTTTGTTTCCCAGCCCTGGTCAGGGTGCATGCACTATCTTTAAAAATCAAAGGAAAACATTTCCTCTGGTGAGGTTTAACTAACAAATAAACAAATAAAAAATAAATGAATAAATGATATTCTTTCCTGCACAAAATAATATATGCTTATCATAGAAAATAAAAGAAGGCCCTAGCCAATTTGGCTCAGTGGATAGAGCATCTGCCTGTGGACTGGAAGGTTCTATAATAGGTTTGATTCCAGCCAAGGGCACATGCCTGGGTTGCAGGCTCAATCCCCACTAGGAGGCAGCCAATCTATGAGTCTCATCATTGATGTTTCTCTCTCTCCCTCTCTCTTCATCTCTGATATCAATAAAGAAATATATATATATATTTTACAGAAAATAACAGAAGAAATGAGTCTTAACTGTTTTGGCTCAGTGGATTGAGTACCAGCCTACAGACTGAAGGGTCCTGGGTTCAATTTTGGTCAAGGGCACATGCCTGATTGTGGGCGATCCCCAGGACGGGATGTGTAGGAGGCAGTTAATCAATGATTCTCGCCGAAACTGGTTTGGCTCAGTGGTGGAGCGTCGGTCTGCGGACTGAAAGGTCCCAGGTTCGATTCCGGTCAAGGGCATGTGCCTTGGTTGCGGGCACATCCCCAGTAGGGGGTGTGCAGGAGGCAACTGGTCGATGTTTCTCATTGACGTTTCTGGCTCTCTATCTCTCTCCCTTCCTCTATGTAAAAAAATCAATAAAGTATATATTTAAAAAAAATCAATGATTCTCTCTCATCATTGATGTGTGTTTTTTTTTTCTCTCTCTCCCTTCCTTCTGAAATCAATAAAAATATTTTTAGAAAAAAGAAGAAATTAAACCTATATATAAATTCAACAAGGAGAAATAAGCATGTGATAATCTTCAGGGAGATAAACTTAATGATATTTTATATCACGTTTTATTCCTTCTTAATGAGCATGCTTTGATAAAGAAATTATCAATAGGTCTTTCACATTTATATTGGCCATTCTGAATATTTTTGAAAATTAGAATGTTTAATCTTTTAAAACCCATTAAATTTTTTTAAACTGTTTAGTTTTTTGCTTGATTAATCAAATAAGAATTAAAAAAAACAAAGCAGATTAAATTTGAAAAATGAACCTTTGCACTTATATGAAAGTAAAAGAGAACTCTTGATGTTATAACCTACCTTCTCCCCCGGGGTCACAGAGATCCTCCAGATGCAGTGTGTGTAAGAAGGGTAGCCATTGGGAAATCCTGGAGAGGAAAGGTTGCCAGTGGACTCTTGTAGGGTTTCTCCACATGCTGAAATAAAAACAAAATACATATATTTGATTTTTTAAAAAGATAAAATCTATTATTTACTAAAAAATATAAGATCATTTTTTCATTTTAATGAAAGGTATGGGCATCACAATTAAAACCGTGGGTCTTTTAGTGTTAGACAAGAGTATGTATTTGTATTTTATAAAAGACTTTCCCTTTCTAAATTATTTATTTTTATGTCTCATAAAAATTTCACTATACCTAATAGGATCACTAGGGGTAATCAAATCACGAGATTAGGAGATCAATAATCTGACCTGTATAAAGTCCTTCCTCGTGGACATCTCTGTCATTCCTTCCCAAGGAGCCAGTAGCCAACTTGTAAATGACCCATATTTTGATTCAGGACAGTTGCTACCTTGTTGATGTGGCTCTGAGACCACAAGAAACATTCCACTAACATATCCAATGCAAATTGAGGCTAAATTCAATTTTCACTGAATTATTCCATGTGAAAATTGAAAAAAAAATCTTAACTAATAACTAATAAGTAATCCACAAAAGTGGCATCAAAATGTAATCACAATGGCCAAAACCGGTTTGGCCCAGTGGATAGAGCGTCAGCCTGTGGACTGAAGGGTCCCAGGTTCGATTCCGGTCAAGGGCACAGGAGGCAGCTGATCAATGTTTCTCTCTCATCGATGTTTCTAACTCTCTATCCCTCTCTCTTCCTCTCTGTAAAAAATCAATAAAATATTTTAAAAAATGTAATCACAATGAAATTTTTCTCAAAATAAGCCCCCCCCAAAAACTAAAAGATAAAAACACATCATGATACCCTGCTCAGTTTGGCTCAGTGGATAAAGGGTAGGCCTGCGGACTGAGGGGTCTGGGTTCAATTCTGGTTGGGGACACATGCCTGGGTTGTGGGCTTGGTCCAACATGCAGGAGGCAGCCAATCAATGATTCTCTCTCATCATTGATATTTCTATTTCTCCCTTCCTCTCTGAAATCAGTGAAAATATATTTTTAAAAAATCATGGAAGATTCAAATTTTCCAACAGGATGTAGATGTTTATTTACTCTCTCTTTTCTGTTGATCATAAGTACAAATTGCTGGAAAAGCAATTACATTTTTCTCTTACTAAGCCTGTCTAATTTCTTGGAAGTAATTACTAGTCATCTGAAATAGCAAATTATCAGCTCCACAGCCTTCAGTTCTGTATGACTGATATCTCTAGGGCCATTTCAACAAAGGCAAAAGCAGAGTGTAATTAGTTTATTGGTGCAGCCAAGGTCAGAGTCATTCTATAATGGGTTTTCATGTTGTTTTGTAAGACATGGTATGAGCTACATGAATCTAGGATGCTTTAAGTATCCTTAATCCAAAAATAATTCCTATGCTGTAGCCAGTTATCTTTAAACTTTTACTCAACAACAATGTAGAAGAGACTGAAATAAAAACTGAGATATTTCCATATGAGAGGTCAATAGCTACCAGCAGCTCATCATATCCTTGGTAAGCTGTCAATGGCTTTGAATATTTTAACTTAAATGTAAAAAAGATGATGACTTTGAAAACACAAAATAGAGCTGTAAAAAGAGTCTGATACAATATAAATATTTACTAAGAAACACAGATATCATGTTTGCACAAGCAGAATAAGTTTAAAGTATTAGTAAGCAATGTTTGTTGTGATAAAACCAACTTTAGAACAAGACAAAATGCTCATTGGTCAAAAATACGCAATTCAGAACTTTTTATTAATCAAGAAGGGCACTTGATAAATATGTTACAAGGACCCTTAGAAAAATTAAAATGTGTTAAGATTTATGTATGCAAACAATGTGCTTCTCATTAAAGTCAGTTTAGATGCTAGTCATGTTGGAGTTGAGAGTGTTTCAATGAAAAGAGCTACAATTCACAACAATTTAAAAATAAATTCTATAATGATTGAAACATCCACTAAACTACATAGGATGCTGATACTGTATTTCCTATAATAGAATTAAAACAATGAAATATAGTTAATCCACAAACACATCACTAATGCTATGATTAAAAACAGATTATATAAATGAAAAACAAGTATAACATATAATTCAAAAATAATTTCATAAATATATAGCATCTGCTTATAATGCAAGAAGTACAAACAATAGTCAAGTTGTGGTAAATATTTTTCCATTTTATTCAGTACATGTGTTTGTCCCAGGCTACTTAATTTCTACTTGTAAAAGATTTTCATCCATTTTCCCAGCCATTTGTGGATTAATGCTCAGATATAAAGAGCAAATTTTATTATTAAAAGAATTAAAGAAAAATTACCAAGGAAATGTGACAATACTAAGCTAAAAAGCATAGTCTTCCCATTTACTCTGCAAGGTATGTGGATGAGAAAACTATTATGGTATTACTAATTATGTTATACAAGTAAGTATTATAAGCTTCCACCTCAGTTTTATCTTCTATAAAGTGACTATCTGGCTGATATGTATTTCATAAAGTAGCTTTGTAAGGGTCAGCTATTATGATGCCCTAAGGTATGACATCTTCTTACATAGCTTTTTCACAGATAGGAAGATTGTGGTCTTAATTGTAAGAATGTGTTTTTTAATTACAAATGCAATCATATCCAGGGGAAAAAAAGGCTTAAAATATGCAAAAAATTGTTATCACTTTCCTAATTGAAATTACTCTAAAACAAAACATAATTCAGAAGTTGAGCTTCTCTCTCTCTAAGCATAAGACATGATCTTATATGTATAAAACCATAAAGATGCCACACATTCACAAAAAAAGCTATTAGAATTAATAAATTCAGCAAAAATGCAGGATAGAAAATCAACATCTAAAAATCAGTTACACTAACAACACAGGGAAAAAATTAAAGAAAACAAAGTAATGGAAAGAAATTCTGTGTTTATGGATTTGAAGACTTAATATTGCAACAATTTTCATACCATCCAACATTACCTACAGATTCTATGCAATCTCTATCAAAATCCTACTGGTTTGTAGAAATGAAAGTCCTAAAATTCATATAGAACCACAAACTCTGAACAATTAAAACAATCTTGAGAAAGAAAAAATATGGAAGTTTCACATTTCTTGACTTCAAAACATATTATAAGTCTACAGTAATCAAAACAGTCTGATACTGTCATAAGATAGACATGTAGACCAATGAATAAGAATAGTCAAAAATAAGCCCATGCATATACAGTAAAATGATATTCAATAAGGGTGATAAGACTAAACAGTGGAGAAAGGACAGTCTCTTCAACAAATGGTGTTGGGGGGACTAGTTATACACATACAAAAAAAAAATGAACTTAACCTTTATCTATCACTATACACAAAGTCAACACAATAACATTTGTATTTAAAAGAAAGATATCCCTAGAAGCTGCTTTATTATAAGGTATTTACCTTACATTCCTCATAAATTCACTGTTACTTGACATATTTAATTAAGAAAGAATTATGAAGATAATATTAGAGTTGATAGTTGGTATAAGTACAAAGTAGTTATAAACAATAAGGGTATTGGGCTACAGAAAAAATAAATGAAGAGAAAATGCAATTAAAGACCAGAAAAGCCACAACCTCTAATATCTATGTGTGAACAAGGTCAGGCCTCCTTTCAAGATTAAACTCTAAGGAACAGCTTTATAAGATGCAGAAACAATAGAACTTTGAGTATAAACTGATACGGAATAAAAAGTTGGAGGGAAAAGTAGCCAAGTGGCTCTTACTGACTCTATATTCATCAGCAATTTCTAACAAAAACGGCAAGACAGATGCCAAAGCATTTTTATAAAACCCTCTTCTCTATTAAAAGCAAGAAACAACCAAGTGTAACTTTATAAATTCTTACTTTCTTAGGTGATTCTCAGATGAGCCATCTTATTTAGACTTCAGTGTATAATTGTGGATCTTCACCACAATTCCACTGATGCAATTCTACTGCTAAACCGACAGCATCAGTGTAGCTGAGCTGTATTTTGACAATGGCAAGTGAATGTTTACCAACATCATCAGTGCTCTCATTGTGAGGAAATTAAGAACCTTAAATACATAACCATAAATAGGGCTCAGAACTACCATCTATGAAAGAGAGAGAGAGAGATGGAAAAGATGGTTTCAGTGCTGACAGGGACAGAGAAAGAACAGAAAGAGGGATAGTTAGAAAAAGAGAGAGTCCATTGCTTAGTGAGTATGAAGGATGGATGACTACTAGAATTAGTGGGATGATCACACTGTAAGGTATAAAAATGTCCAATAAATATATTGTACACCTAAAACTAATATAACCAACTTAAGATTGAACACCAACTATACTTAAATAAACAAAAAAAGTAAAAAATGAAAACAAAATAAAAAAATCAAGCCCAGGTCATTCTCAAAGACCTTGGGAATTAAAAGTTAACATATCTTTTTTTAAAATATAAACTTGTATCTTTTAGTTCTCCCTTACTCCCTGCAGTTTATAAGCTGCAATACAAAGACTTGCTTTAGAAACACAAGGTATCTTCCTTATTAATGATGATGCCTGTATGCTGTGGTTTTTGCCATATTAAACAAAGCAATGTAGCCGAGACCGGTTTGGCTCAATGGATAGAGCGTCGGCTTGGGGACTACGGGGACCCAGGTTCGATTCCGGTCAAGGGCATGTACCTTGGTTGCGGGCATATCCCCAGTAGGGGGTGTGCAAGAGGCAACTGATCAATGACTCTCTCTCATTGATGTTTCTGGCTCTCTATCTATCTCCCTTCCTCTCTGTAGAAAATCAATAAAATATATATTTAAAAAAAAAAATAAATAAACAAAGCAATGTACATATTACTATACTAGAGGCCTGGTACACAAAAATTTGTGCACTGGGTTGGGGGGTAGACCCTCAGCCCAGCCTGCCTGCTCTCACAGTCCAGAAGATGTCTACTGCAGGGAGCAGGCCTAAGCCGGGGTCTGGCCTCCCTCTGAGGGAAGTGACTGGGCTGATTAGGAGAAGGTCCTGCCCCCATCACCCCACAGCTGCTGCCACTGCTGGCCACCACAGCTGCCGGCCCTCCTCGGCCCCTCGCAGCCACTGTGGCTTTACTGGAAGGACATCCGGTCTATCTGATCTAATTACCATATTACTCTTTTATTAGTGTAGATTTCAAATTAAAAAATAGCCCATTTCTTTATTTAATGATGAAAGTCTCAAGTGAAAATTATGCTTACTGATTATTTTCCTATTAATAACTAAAATGTTTAAGAGCCATAGATTGAAAATTAAATTAGTGTCATACACATGTGATTCTTTCACTTCCCACTGACTGACAGTTCTACAATTCAGTGTGCAAATGCATCTCTAGTGTGCTCTTTTAAGTATAATGTACAGACATATATATTTAGAGAGACAATCAAAATGTTTTATATGGGAACTGTCCATTGGACAGTTGCTATCAATCACATAATCTTATCCATAATTTTCTATTTTGAAATTTAAAAAGCATAGTTCATCCAATACTGCCAGAAATTAGCCAAGGAGTACCCATGTCTTTTATCATAGTGGTGACATTTGCTTATAAATTCATCTTCCCTATGAAAATTTAGATTTTAACAAATAAATACTACACAAGCATGTGTTTTACATAAATACATGGACAAAAATTCTGGAAAAGTCATGTTAAGTAAAGTTAAGTATGTTTCTTTGAAATAAGGTAATTTAGAGGATTTTAAGTGTACAGTAGGTGCATAGAATATACAACATTTCCAAATTGGAAGGTGACTCTTTTTTTTCCCCCTAGGACCAATAAAGCACTAGTGTTCCCTTGGAACTTTCTTATTAAGACCTTCCATTAATCTTTTTGATAACTTTATTCAGTAGAAAAAACAACCAGGCCTTTCCATTAATCTTTTCAACAACTTTATCCAGTAGAAAAACAATCAGTAGCTCATTAGCAACATGGTTGGAACAAATTTTTTTACAACAAAGTTATCCATTCCAATAATAAAATTATAATTTATATACCATTAAGGATGGGTTACTTGCAAGAAAAGATCAATCAGGACTCAAATCTGAAGTCTAACTAAAGGACATTCTTTTATATTGGCAAGGAGACTCAGCATTTGACTGTGATATCATGCAACTATTTAATAATTATCAGACAAACATGCTTTTTGGTCTTTTACTCCTTAAATTAAAAGAAAGAAAACACACTATCATTGTGCTTAAAATCTGATTTCTAGAAATTTGTTTTTAATTATATCAGTGGGTGTTCCAGAGTTCTCTCCTATTTCATTTTCTGATTACTGACTTTGAACCAAGTAAGTCACTTGCCAGCATGGAAAGAGACATGTAAACAGTTGAGTAAATCATAGCTTATTCATCTGGAAGAGCATACTCTGGCAAAATTACGCCTCTGTGTTTGTATGGTGCAATACCTGGACATCTATACAGCTTTCTTGCCTGTGCAATATCTCCTTTGCTTAAACGGGTCCGCTGACCGATTGCAGGACGTATGCCATTATCATCACGAGAAGGGAGAATAGTGTCCAGGAACATCCCCCTGAAAAAAATCAGAAGCAAGCCACACATAAGTCACCCAGTTAAGTCATACGTCCTTTCTTACAAGTATTAGGGTTTTTTGGTTGTTTTTCAAACCCAAGTCAATCACGGGGGAAAAACATCCGTGATGGGCTTTAAATAATCTGTCAGACTTTCAAAAACACTTTTACTAAAGTAGAAATAAAATGTGTGCTAAATACAGGGTGTTTCCCCTAAAAGTATACACACTTTTATAACTGATGGTTCAGTTGATGTTTCTTTCTTTTCAGATTTAACCCACTGGAATTAATAAATTATTTAAATTGTGTATACATTTTTTGGAACACACTATATGTATGCCTAACATCAAGTCAGTGATGATATTCACATTTCCTTAGAAATATATATTACATGATTGATTTTCAAAATCTAGAATTCTATAGAGTTCCCCACTACATACACATGGCTTTTGTTTGGATCTCTCAAGCAGATCTAAGAATCCCTTATATTGCCAAGTTGTAAAACAAGTCTTCCTCATGTAGCTAGGTTTTCTTAAAGACAACCTATCATAAATATTTTTGAATATTTTTATAATTACTAAAATTATAAAATACACACATATATTGTGTGTGTGTGTGTGTGTGTGTGTGTGTGTGTGTGTAGGTTCATGTCTTAGTTAAACTACTAATTTAATATTAGTATTATTCTAATTAAATCTTAGATTCTTCTAATCTTAGTATTCTTCCAAGTATTACAGTACATGCTAAAGAGCAAGGGAAAACAAAGAGTGTCAAATTTTAGATAGAAGAGTATAAAGCAAAATAGTTCAATGATACACACACATACATATAGTATAAAATTTTCACGTTTAAATTAATAATCAAATAACTACCTAAGTAATGCCTTAAATAATAGTAAGGTTGGCTACTGAGTTGTTTGTTCCAAGGTTGTAAGAGAAATTCACTATTTTTCTTAATATGCATAACTAAAAATTCTCACTCTAATACAATGAAAATAAAGTCTAATTTTGCAATAAAAAACAACTTTATAGCTCTAAAGGAAGTTCAATGGGCTGGAGACTGACTATTCTAAGTGGTGAGAAGAATGGAATGTGTATTTAAGGTTTTTTTTGTTTTTGTTTTTGTTTTTTTAAAAAAGAAAAGATAAATTATAAAGGTATTTTATTTTATGTTAGTTTGGATATCATTAATTATAAAAGATTTCAAAACTTCAGTGGAATGGGCAGCTTCCTATGATGCCATTGCAATAAGTGATATATTTCAGTTTACATACTTTCCAAGAATTTCACCATCTTTAAAAAAAAAAATATATATATATATATATATATATATATATATATATATATATATATATATATATATTGATTTCAGAGAGAAAAGAAAAGGGAGAGATAGAAACATCAATGATGAGAGAGAATCCTTGATAGTTTGCCTCCTGCACGCCCCACACTGGGGATGGAGCCCATGACCCAGGCATGAACCCTGACCAGGAACCAAACCCTGATCTCCTGGTTCATAGGTCCATGCTCAACCACTGAGTCATACTGGCTGTGTTTTCTCTAAATAAGAAAGAATCCTTGTTTTCTAGCTACTTTTCAATCCCCTGACTTTTCCTCCCTAAAGATAAAATTTAGGCCTCAGTTGTTTATCAGCTCCAGATAAAATCTAGGCCTGTTTGTATATCAGCTCCAGATAAAATCTAGCCCTCAGTTGTATATCAGCTCCAGGCCCAGAAAAGCAGGAAAAACAGACAAATGATGCAGTGATGCAGTGATTGCCTCAGTTCGAGCTGCATTGAATAATAACCCTGCCCTGGTGCCAACCAACCAGCGGAGACCACGTCCCTGAAAGAGCACACCAAGAAAGCTGATTAATGTTTTATTGAGACCCTTCCCTGAGGCTCCCCTAAAATTACTGCCTGCAAGAGAGAGAAATGCCCTCAACACAAGGAACCCAGCATACGCTCAATGAAAAAGACCTTGTGTGTGAGCACGCTGTATCATTCCTTCCCCACCCTACTTCAAGGGACCCCATGAGACTTGCAACTAGGGGAGCGATGGGTAGCGGCAGTTCATCCCAGGCTAATCCTCTGAACCTGTCTTCAAGGTCCCCTTTTCTCTGACTTCCCAGTGAGCTGAAGTAGCCCAGCCTAGGCTCTCCTATTGCTTCTTTTATGCCCTTCCTTATTTCACTATCCTAAGTGTGTTTTTGCTGTGGACAATACATTTTTACTTGCTTTGCTTGCTGTAGTTTGTCTCTTGATTGAAACCTTTCCTTCAAGAAGACAAAAACCAATCTCATCGTCTCACTGGTAACATAATGAACAAAATAAACTCATAAACAAAGTAGAATCAGACTTATAGATAGGGTTCCAAGGCTGGGTAAAAAATGATTAAGCAAAAAACAAAGCAAAAAAACCTCATAGACACGCTTAATAGTATGGTGATTACCAGAGGGAAAAGGGATGTGAGAGGTAGATGAGGGTACAGAGGTGATAAATGGTGATAGAAAAAGGAAATTTGACTTGGGGTGGTGAACACACAATACAATATACAGATGACGTGTTTTAGAATTGTACACTTGAAACTGATATAATTTTATGAAATAACTAGAGACCCGGTGCACGAAAATTCATGAACTGGAGGGGGGTACCTCAGCCTGGCCTGCCCCCTCTCAAAGACCAGGAGCCCTCAGGGCAATTAGGAGAAGGCAAAGCCCCCTCATACCTCTGCTTCTGCACTGCAGGCATTGCAAGCCTCAGCTGGCCATGGTTACCTGAGCCTCGGGTGGCCCTAAGAGACTGGGCAGCTGCCATCCAAGGTTTGCCTGTACCTTGTGCCAGCTCTGGGTGGCTGGGCAGCTGAAGGGATTGGAGGACTCTGGAGGCAGGCAGGGCTGAGGGAACTAGGGGCTGCCATCTTGTGGCTGTGGGCGTTGCCATCTTTGAGGGCATGGCAGTCAATTAGCATATTCCCTCTTTATTAGATAGGATGTCACCCCAATGAATTTGGTAAAAAAATTCAGCTCTACTTTTTCCTATCTTTAGGAAATATTTTACTGAGAATTGTTATAGTTCTGGATTTATAGCAGTAAATAAAAGACACAAAAATTCCTCCTCTTATAATGCTCACATTCTCATGGGAGGAGAAAGACATTAAACAAAATAATAATAACTGAGATAGTGACAGGTAAACCAGAGAATAATATAGAAGTCTGAAAGATAATAAAACAGAAAAGTGACAGAAAGTGTGAGTAATTTCTGACTGAGCACCCTAGCTTCTAGGTTTAGGTAATGATCTTTAGATAAAACCTAGATAACTCAAATAGAGAATGGAACCCTTAAAACCAAAGCTAAATATCTATGTAGCTCCATATGTAAATTTTTTGAGATGAAGGGAAACTAATAGTTGTTGGTAATTGACCATCAAAAGTGAGAGCTTAAACATACTTAATAGGATGCAACTCCAGGGAGGCCAGTGCTATTGAAGGGGAAGCTGAGGCACAAGATAACATTGAGAAAAGTCATTATTCAACTATGTTGCATGAATCAACAGATTATTAACTAGGTAAGTCCAAATTAATGAAATGTTACAATTTCTGCAGTATTCAGAACTAATAAAATACTATTTTCAATTTCTGAAAAAACAGATTTGTAGTCTGAAATTTTTTTCCCCTCCAGTTTTCAAAAGAGATTCCACTTTAAAAGTATATGGGCATCTTAAATTGTATTCAAACTCAGACACTAGAATGATGAACTTTGACTCATTCTGTCTACTGAAGTAACCTCCCTTTCATTGGGTGGGGGTCAGTCACCATTCTTTTGTTCTTTCTTTGTGATCAGGGAGTTAACAACTATCTTCTTGCCATAGGCCATTAAGCAATGCAGTCTCTTCCTCAAACACCTTCAGTAAGGCACTATCAATAGACTAGAGACAGATCGCTGAGGGCTTCCATTACTAACCTTCATTTGTTTTACCTACAATAGAAGAGTAAATTAGCTATGCTTTTAAATAAACTTCATAAAATTTTACAATTCTTTCACTAATGGAAAATGGGCAGTCCCTGTTAAGCAAAAAAAATCTACATTACAAACTATGCATGTTTATAAAAGCCCTTTATATTTAGCCTCATTCTTCCCACAAATAAGTACCTTAATCTGCTGATGGGCTATATTCATGAAAACAACTAAAACTTTTATAGACTCTGTGGGTGGAGAATAGAAGAAACTATAAAACTTCAATTACTTACATTAATAGAATGAACAACAAAGAACACATGTTCATCTAGTTGATGCAGAAAAAAGCATTTTACAAAATTCAATATGCTTTCATGATAAAAATAAAGACACACTCAGCAAACGAGGGACAGAAGGAAAGTACCTCAACATCGTAAAGACCATATAGGAAAGCCTATAGGATCATCATATTTAATGGCTGAAAACGGAAAGCTTTTTTTATTCAAGATCAGGAATAAGGCAAGCCTAATTGCTCACACCACCTCTATTCAACACAGTATTGGAAGTCCTAGCCAGAGCAATTAGGCAAGAAAAAGAAGGAAAATTCACCCAAATCACAAAGGAAGTAGTAAAAGCATCTGTTTGCTGATAGCAAATGTAAAAATATGTTAAAAAAAAATCTAAAATGCCTGGTGTTGGCTTTACATACCAATCAAATATTTTTGTATTTTATGGCAGGAATATTTGAAAATGCTTCCAGCTCTAATGTTAGACAAAGCTTTGTGAGAAGTCATACAGAGGAAAGGAATTAAAAGTCAAAAGGTATAACCTGAGACTCCAACCTTGAGAAGGTGTTCCTGGCATAGTGCATGATGCTGTCAAAATCATATCCTTCTCCCAGGGAGTTCACTTCTCCAGGCTCCATCTTCAGAAAGTTGTACTCCTGACCTAAGAAGCCGTCACACATAACATTTCAGAAGCCTCCCAACAGGCAGAGAAGAGCGATTCCTGTGCCTGCACCTTCTCTTCACTAAGTGGCTAATCTCATGCATACTGTAATTACATGCTAACACCCACATTGTGCAAAGATACCCATCCAGAGCCGCTGTGTTAATATCACATTGAAAGTGTAATACTGAATTTCATTAATATGTTAAATATCACATTGAAAGTGCAATACTGAATTTCATTAATATGTTAATTTTGGCAAAAGAGTAGATTGTTTTCCTTCCTCTCAAAGTGTTGCCTTGTACATATTTCTTATTTCATTTGTTGGTGCCACCATGCATTCTGTTTCCTAAAAATAAAACCTTGAAGAGATTTCCTCAGATGGTGATACTCCTCTTAAAATATTTTGAAAGATTATTCCTTTTTATTTCTCTCGACATGTGCTACTTAACTGAGGCCTTAGTTATCTCAATATGACAATTGTTACCTTTCTCACTCACTTGCAATCATTTGCATTTTTCATCTCAGAATTTCCAACATCTAATAGTGCCTCAAGAAATAACTGTTACCAAATATGAAATAAGTAGATCAATGCTGGAAATTCTAAAGAATTCAATGGTTATAATTGAAACTGGCCATGAATAAGTTTTGAAGACACATTTTTTACTTTGTTTACACTTGAAATACATACTATCTCATAGACAATTCCAAGCATTAAGATTTTTCTTTTGATAATTGAAATGTACTGATGTTTATGAAGTTATGAGAGTCAAAATGAACAAAAAGCTGTGCACACATCAACTGTCAGAGAAAATTAAATTTAAATTTCAACTGCTGAAAACATTCTTAAATATTTGTCTTTCGGGCAGTCAGGTTTAAGAAAAATCTAAGGAAACTATTTAGACTATCCTGGGATGAGTCATTTCCCTGGAATTTCTCCAAAAGTTGTCCCTAATATAATATAGATACCTATAGTAGCAGTCATATTTGATGGTAGACTCCAGACTCTTTCTAAATCCATACAACATAAATATAGAGCTAAGTATATAAAATGGTTTAAAACCTTTAATAGTACTTATGGTTCAATAGCCTACATCCAATCTTGGAAAACACAAAGTTTAGAAATAAAAGCTAAAATCTTAAGGGGGCGGGGGAAAGTAACCCTTAAAAAACACATAAGATCATTTATTCTGAAGAAAAAAATACAGTAAAAATAGAACACCAGCATGGGTATTTTTCATAAACAAAATAAAACAAAACAAAACAAAACAACAGTTAATATTTGTCAAGAAGTAAATGATAACCAGTACAAACAGAACCAGAAGAAACTCAGTCACCCTGAACCCCAATTCTTACCTGGCTGGATGTTTTCTCTTATGATGGTTACATGGTTATCTCGGTCTGGTCGCGTGTGTTCATGCCAAAAGCCTATCACATGGCCCAATTCATGAACAACAATTCCAAATTTATCACAGTTCTTGCCAATGGAGATTGCCTGCGGTCCATTACCCCGCCGCCCTACGTAGGAGCAGCATCTGGAATAAGGAAGAAAGAGGGGATGGTGGGGGAAAGGGCAATGCTGAATGAATTAAAATATGATGCAACTTTGTTAAGAATTGTGATGAACTAGAAAGTCCAACACAGTCAGAGACAGAATAGACTTTTATTAATAATTATGGCTAATGTCTAGTACCCTGGTTAATTTTTATACAACAAAAAGTCTCTAAACAATCACCTGAAGTGCTCTTATACTAACTCATATATTAGACATATGTCTTAAATCATTTTTAGGAGAAGATGAATTAGAAAATAAAATATAAATATTGATTAATGTACTATTGTACATATAAACGTAAGACTTATCAACTGACATTTATTTCTAATATAATTTTTTATCTTCACTATCCATTATTATATTAATTTGTCAACACTGATATCTGGCAATAATCTATTAGTTCAGCATTAAATATAAGAACAAAGTTTATTTTTCCTCTTTAGGAAAAACAGAATTAAATTTATTTATGAAAGATGTTGGTTAATAAATAAATATTTTTCCTACTTATAAACTGATGAACAAAAATAGATCCAGAGACAGAGAAACATCGATTAGATGCTCAAACCTCAGAGAGAAGGTAGAGAATAAGGGGGCGAGAACAACCAAAGGACTTTTATGCATGCATATAAGTATAACCAATGGACACAGACACCAGGGGGGGAGGGAATGATTGGGAGATGGGGCGGGGGGCCCACTAGGAGAATAAGGACATACATGTAATAACTTAATCAATAAAGAAAAAAATATATAAAAGAATTTCACAAATTTCAATTTCCAGAGTAAGTACATTTGATAGTCATTTTGATGGTTCATAAATACAAACATTTGTCATTCTAATGGTTTCTGTGGGTATTTAAATGCCTAAATATTTTAACCTACACCTTCCAGTTAAATGAACTAATTTGACTTATTATTTATGAATCTATTATAACAGTTAACTAAGCTTAATAAATCAATAATAGAAAGAGAAAACTGGTAGAGAAACAATCAGGGTGTTGTGTTTCTGCTCCTAGGTAGTTTTGTTTCAATAGTATGTTGTAATTCATACGTAGATAGTTATTTAGTATATACCCAATAATAAAATATTAGATGTAAAAAACCCACAAAATGTACAGATTTTGGATAGATTTAAATATTTGCTGCCATATAACAAAGTGACAAAAAATAAAATATCTGATAATTGGGTAGTAACTAAATTAACCACACTGAGTCATTTTTTGCTAGTCATAACCACAGAAGAAAGTACTTTGCATATATCAAAATCTGGGAGATAATCAAGAAGAAGGGTCAATTTATTTAATGTCAAACACCTTTTTTAGTGTAATTTCACCCATAACCCTCTCCAATAAAAAAGATGGGGTCCATATGGGAAGCAAAAAAATACATTTCACATTGACTTTTACAATAGTCCTGTGAAAGTAGGAAAAAAACTGGTAATAGAACCCCTGACATATTTATTATAAATTTATAAATTGCCTCAGCTGACCACAGGCTCTTTCTTTTACTTAGAGGAACGTCTAAAATACTTACAAAAACTCTTAAGAGCCTACGTGATCCTTCCCACACAAATGTCTTATCATCTCATCTCTTACTACTGTCCCATCTCTCACCCCACTCAGCTATGCGGCCCTGCAGTGCCTTTAGCCTGCAGACACGCTCTTGCTCATAGCCTCCTGGCTGCCTACTCCCTCTGGCAGGAACTCTTATCTCCCTTACCTGCCTATGTCTCACTTCCTCATGGTTTCCAGGTATTTGCACAAATGCCCTTTTGTCCTACACACATCGCTTTACTTTTTGTCCTAGAAGTTAGGGCTTATTAATACACTTATACCGTGTTTCCCCGAAAATAAGACATCCTCCGAAAATAAGACATAGCGCATGGAAAGATAAGACATCCCCTGAAAATAAGACCTAGCGCAACTTTGGGAGAAAAAATTAATATAAGACACTGTCTTATTTTGGGGGAAACAGGGTATTTCACTTATTTTCGTGTTTCTTTCTACTTCCCCACCCTAGAATGTAAGGACGCTCTCTGTGGGCCCACAATTTACCGGCTTTGTTCACTGGCGTATCTGCGGCCCCTAGAATACAGCCTGGCACACAGTAGCTCAACAGAAGGGGCTGGGGGAGGGAGAAATGGGCAGAGGGGTGAAATGGTACAAATTTCCAGTTTTAAGTTCTGAGGCTTTCAGTACTTTCCTTCAAGACCCCTTTAAATTCCTACATTCTTTTATTCTGAGTTACATACAATGTACTTTAGCTAATATGTAAGTTGTCAGTATTTTCTAGGTCCCTAGTTGTAAAGCAGTGCTGGGTGTTGAGGGACATGGAGATCAGCTAGCTGCCCTCATCACTGGTGGTGGCCCACAGAGAAATGGGCAGCAGAAATGTAGCCATGATAGCTGTGGATAAAGCAAAGACCCTCTGCGGGCAGCTCAGAAATGGCTGAGAATGAAATGTGAAAGATGCCCACTGTTGGGAAATGAAAGTAAAGGCATTCTAAGCGACTAAAGTATCATGAGCAAAAACATGAAGTAATGATGATGAATGGGGGAAAGTAGTTTAGCAGGGTCAAACAAGTGAACTGTAAATCTCTGAAAAGAGCCAAATGAATGAAAAGAAAATGAGTATGAATATGAATTTGTTGCAAACAGAAATTAAGCAATTAAATAACAAGTGACCGGTGCTTTGGATGTTTTTGTTTTACAAAATTGTTGGGTGGGAAAGAAGAAAGATCTGAATACATTATGTGTTTAGAAATATGTAAGCTGAGTTACATCCTTTTCTATTAAATAACCAGAAAGAAGGACAGTCCAGAATTAGACCTTTTAAATATTAAATAGATATAAAAAATAGGAAGCATTTCAGAAGTAACCAAGCCTCTTCAAGTTAAAATTAGAGTGACGTAAAAGAAAACATCACTTGAATAAGTCATAACTAAAAAATTATGGTGCTATCTAAAAATATATAGAAAAGAAATAATGTATCATTTTTTTAGCATCCTTTTAAAAAATATATATTTTATTAATTTTAAAAAATATATATTTTACTGATTTTTTTACAGAGAGGAAGGGAGAGAGAGAGCAAGAAACGTCGATGAGAGAGAAACATTGACCAGCTGCCTCTTGCACACCCCCTACTGGGGATGTGCCCGCAACCAATGTACATGCCCTTGACCGGAATCGAACCTGGGATCTTTCAGTCCGCAGACCAATGCTCTATCCACTGAGCCAAACTGGTTTCAGCTGTATCATTTTTCTTAATGTCACTCAAGGCCAAAATAAAATCCGTAACTTTTAACTTAACTAATCTAGGAAAATATGATAGCACAAAGTCAAATGACAACCGTCCCACACCATACCTCGTGAAATATACTTCCCCTAGGGGGAAAAAAAAGAATAAGAATAATACATAATTAGGTCAAGAACTATTTCCTTCAAACAAATTAATTATTTATTTTCATTTCCATATATATAGTACATTAGAAGGTATCCAAGTAGATAGAAGTGATTAGAGAAACTTCCTCTTCATAGAAGAATTTGAGCTAATCAATGTAGGAAGGATAAGAAAAGAACACCATTAGGAAAATCACTATTTTGCAATGGTGGGAACTTTTATGGTGGCAGGATGTGGCTGTCACCATTTTAATCTATTGATGCATTTTTTTTAAAAAAATCTTTATTGTTGAAAGTATTATATATGTCTCTCCCCCACCCCCATTGACCTCTTGTAGGCTGCCTTCCTGACCACAGGCCTTCAGCACACTACTGTCTGTGCCCACGGTTTATACACACATACATACAAATTCATTGGTTGATCCCTTCCCACCCACCCAACCTTCCCTGCCTTCCCTCTGAGGCTCCACAGTCTGTTCCATGCCTGGTGGGTCCAGGAGATGAGCCTCCCAATGTGATGCAGTGTAGGCAGCACACCCTGCCAAGTATCCTTAGCAAGCAAGCAAAGAGAAATTCAAGCTGAACTTAAATAAGTAAATATAAGTTCCACTGAATACAGGGAAGAAGAGTGCAAACTTTCCCAATAGGAAGCCTTTTATAGTATACCGCTTTGCTCAAGAACGGCTATTACTGTAACTTGGCTAGATGATGAGATCTGTGGAGAGATGTGGTGGCAGAAGAAGCTTCCGAGGGAAGTTGTGGTAAGTTCAGAGCATTCCTTAAACGCTATACCAAGGAATGTGGACTTTCTCCTAGGATGAGCACTTCCCAAAATAAACGCCGAGATATTGATGAGTGTCACTTGTAAAAGGGTGAAATGGATATTCCTTTTTTAAAGTAAGTTTGAGGATCCTGTTATTCTCTGTGCCTTTCCATTGGTTGAGAGGTAGTAATATTCATCAGCACACTGCAATAGAAATGGCTACCAAAACTTCACAAAGCATTTCCACAAATGAAAGGTGAGTTGTTTTGGAGAGAGTTTGTGTTATCACCCTGTAAGAAGCAAGTCTAGAAAAGAATCCCATAAAAGTGTGGTCTTTTGATGTGACCGGTATTTTGTGAAGATAATTCTAGTCAGTGAATTGGTAAGGCAACACGGCAGAGCAGCTGGGATAGATCAGGTGTGAGATGTCCAAGACATACGGTAAATGGACCAGGGCACTGACGTGGCACAGACGTGCAAACCAAAAGACAGAGTGAATACCAGTGGACATTAGAGGGAGCACAGTAGAATCACTAGATGCTGCTGCTGCTGACATTCCTAACTCAGAACATTCCTAACTCAGAACATTCCTAACTCAGAACATGCGTAGAACATAGGCAATGCCACTTCAGAGTCAGGACACAAGGAAAAGCAGCTAGGGTCGCGGAGGAATGCACTTGAGAGACATGCATTATGGTCAGTGATCAAAGAATATATTTACTTAGAATATTTTCTTACGTAAAATTTATACTTTATGGGCAGAACCCTAAGCACATATTAGGAAATGAACCCTGCCTTTGGATTTCTTTCCCTTGTAAGTCGTCCTTGTGCTACTCACCCGCAAGGCCTGTATGTGAACACGATGTAACTCTCCTCATCGCTTCTTTCAATGAAAGTGACGCATGTGTGCTTCTCCCAGTGCCTCATGGCCTGCTTGAACATGGCTCGCTGGCTGCCTGGAAAAACGGCATGACATGAACAAACAGTGTCTGCCCCGGAGAGGGCGGCCGCACGTGGACTCCCCTCTCCCGGAGTCTGGCTGAGCAGTTCAGACGCCGCCACTATGCTCTCACCAACCAAAGAGCACCAGCCTGGAGCGCCCCACCTGAGCCATTGTTAAGAATGGACACTCACTCTATAATCAGAAGGGTTAGGGCGTACAATCTCCACATACAGGTGTGGGCAGGGCCCTGGAAATGGGATATACGTGTTTCCTGTCAGTTGAAGAGAAGTCAGCATCCACATTTAATGGACACATTTGAAACTCAGTGCCTGAGACTCTTACAAGTAAGTCAAGACCAAGTAAATGTTTCAATTACAAAACATTCTAAACTAACAACTGAGGTAAGGGGAGCATTTCTCAAGTTTGCTTTAATACTATCTTTTATAGGTTAATATTCCATAAAAATGTCCCCTTTATCTGTACGATAATTATTACTTCTTTGTCCCAATAGACATGTGGGGGAGTATCTTACCAGTGAAGTTGCCTCCTATAACATAAGGAATAACACCTCCGGGCCATATTCTGTCTGTTCTTGATGTAGCAGCTCTAGGCACCCGATTTTTCTCGTTTTGCCCTGAGAATTTTAGAGGTACTTTTTCCTTAACCGTGCTGTTTCGCTCCAAGCCTGCAGTGACATTTGAAAGATTCTGTGAAACAAGTCCTTGGACCAGGAGTCATATACCTCTTAAAGGACAAACGTTAAAGTGCCTTATTTACATATTTGTATAAGTATGTCTGGAGTCATGCACTAAAGGCAAGCTTCATATAAATTAGATACTTGAAGAAAGTATTGAAAGAATTAAGTGTATCACATTCAGTACATTTCTTAATGCTCTATGAATAGATTCTCATGCATTTTTATACAATAGCCGACAATGGGCAGAAGTCAGGCAAACTTTGCAGGCCACAGAAAAGTTCCTTTATGTGAGTATTCTACTTTACTAGACCACTGGGATATTCACCCCCAAAACACATTGTTCCAAGAGTTCTATGATATTCAAAACTCTTCTTATTCCTGCTAAATCCTTCATCATTTTTAGCACTGATATTCTATAGTACAGATTAAAATTATGAATATTACGCCGAAACCGGTTTGGCTCAATGGATAGTGCGTCGGCTTGGGGACTGAAAGGTCCCGGGTTCGATTCTGGTCAGGGGCATGTATCTTGGTTGCGGGCATATCCCCAGTAGGGGGTGTGCAAGAGGCAGGTGATCGATGACTCTCTCTCATCGATGTTTCTAACTCTCTATCTCTCTCCCTTCCTCTTTGTACAAAGTCAATAAAATATATTTTAAAAAAATAAAAAAATAAAGATTATGAATATTACATTATAGAGAAAGTGAAGGAAATAACATTAAGTCAGAGAAGGGCTCAGTCTCCTGGGACAATGGTGAGCTCCATTCTAATTTCCCCTGAACACACACCCAGGTGCACAGCAAAACCGGTGCACAGTGAATAGGTCGGCATAAAATGCAGTCTTTCCTGGAGCATCTTTCAAATCTGTAGTTATCATGTCTTGGTGGCCTTTCATAAATGTTTGCTGCTAAATTTGCAGAATTATTTTTTCTTATTCATCTATCACTGCCAAGATAGATATCCTATGGCCAATATACACTTCAGACACAATAAATATTGAATATATGCCCTATGCTATATCCCTAAAGTATTTTCTAAAATTTTATTTTCCAATTGTAGTTTACATTCAATATTATTTTGTTTCAGTTTCAGATGTACAGCATGTCTCTCTAATACCCTGGAGCAAATCATCTTTGCTTGAGAAAATTAAACCATCAATTTAAGGAGTTAGAATATAAAATTTGAACATTCTTAAAAAAACACAGCAACTCAAATCTATAAATAGGAGCTCATAAAATCAATATTATAAATATTAACTAATTATGAAACCAGGGGGCAGTTTTTCTATATACGTTTTTGGAAGGGTCAAAAAAATTTCAGCTACTCTTTAAATCTAATAAATGTTTGTCAATTTAAGTGAATTTTACTTCAAGCCATGATATTTTTCATTCAATTAAAACTGATATAGTTCCATGGTTAATAAAACACCTTGGTGTGATAGTCCATTTGCTAGAAATAAACATTAACAACAATATAAATACCGAATGCATTTTTAAATAAGGAGAGGCTGAAAATAAGTTAACAGAACATTGCAATTGTCCCCCATTAAGTTCTGAAGGCCTTACATCAGCTATCAACTAACAATAAAAACAAAGGACTCTTTCTTAGCATATATCCTTCACATACTTGGCATCATAATGGCAAACTAAACTGCTATGAGTATAATATTTACTGTACATCAAGTCAAGCGTCTGCAACTTTAAACATTGATATACCAGAGCCAATTCTTCTTATCCTGTCTATAAGCTGGTAGAGGGCCCCTCGTTTCTTTGACATACCATGGTCTCCATATCCACCTTAAAAATAAAAATAAAATAGTTAAATCAAACACTGTATTTTTAAGTTCTTTGTAAATAAACAATAGTAATAGGCTATATTAATTTCTCTCGGGACATCTTTTTTTAATGTGGTCTTAGAAAGTTAAAGTCATAAAAATCCATAAATCTTAGAAGAGGAGAACCATTATTCATTAGCAAATTTTGCTAACTAACACAGGCAGCGAGGAGTGATCCAGAAAGCACTCGACATGACTTTATTTGGACATATGGAAATTGAGTCATCTATTAGTAATTTGAAACATTTTTCTTCACTGTGGCAATGACATCACACAGAATGACAGCAAACTGTTCTACCCTGTTGACTGCATTCTAGCTATTTCCCCAATGCATGCTGAACATTTCAGATGCCAAATCAGCAAATGGAAATAAAACAGTAAAAAAAAAAAAAAATGGAGAGCGTGAATTTTGTTCCAAAGTTATGATCAAATTTAAAAAAATAGATGTAAGTAATTTTATAACTTAAAAGGTAAAAGCAAGGGTCAAAATAAAGAAATATGTTTCTTGCAATTTTAACAGCAAAGACTAGAATGGGTAGATTCCTGTCAGAAAACAAATTATTTTATGAAAATCAAGTCCTCTTATTCTACGGTTTTAATAAAAATGCTCTCTCAACTTTACCTCCTAGTTTCCCTTCTTGAATTTTTAATAGACAAATTACAAAGAGGTATCATCGAGCAAACAACCAATATGAACACGAATGATATCAGAATAAGTGCAAATGAACTCATACCACTAGTGTGTGTTTTTTGAGTCTCTTTGGGCTAACACAGTAAAAGAGGACCAGAAATTCATAAAAACAGCAATCTGAATTTTGAAGTCTTGCCTCTCAATATCTGTTTTCCCCCCTTGAAATTAAAACTGTAATGTAATGACCTAGATTGAAGCTAATAACAAAATAATAAAAATTATTACCATATAAGCCTTATCAAAAATCAATTAAGTCCTTATAAGGTAAATGTGTTAGAGTGCTTGGTCACAGTCTAAGATTCTGTTTAATTATTTGCATTACATGGTCACATTTTTGCTGTGCCCTTTGAGAAAAATGTTTGAAATTTTTTTCACTGAACATTTTAGAAAGATGAGATAATACTTAAACATGTTCATTCCTAAACAGTTACAAGAAACATTTTTAAAGGATGGCATCTATATGTTAAAGTGACCATTATGTAACAATTATGTTTCATAGTCTATAGGATTGAAACAGATTATGAGAAATAAATGTCTTAGTATTAAGGTAATTATGATTAGAGTAATTATAGACTTGAAAAAGAAAATGTTTCAAGGCTATCAAAGTGAATAATGTATTTAGAAATTTTGAATAATTTTTTATAGCATTGAAATAAAATTCCATCTAGATAGTTCACTGGAATAGAAAAAGAAAATTAATGAAATAGGTGGTTATTTCTCAGATATTCCAAAAACAAAATGAAAATATTCAAACTAAATAAATATTTATGGGAAAGATTATATATTTTGAAATTAGGAAATAAGAAATATAATCAATTCAATATAAACTAAAAGAAAGGAAAAAGATAAAGTAAAAAGAATAAAACATAATACTTTTATATTGATATTTAACTGAATAATGCAAATTACTTTCAAACATGTACCTTTCACATATTCACTTAGAATATGTTGTTTTTATGATTGACAGTATAACCTGTTTTATGCTATTTACCTAAAATAATGGTAGTTTTCTTCAAACTATTATTGTTTCAGAGCTTAACTATAAACGAAATGACAAAATTAAATAGTTTTGCCATTTTTTAAATCGCAGAAAATGAATGCTCCCAATATGAAGAGAGACAATGGGTTAAAGAAATGACCTGACTAAAGTTGAAGCTAACAAAAATTTATGTAAGAAATGAAATGTAACACAATAAATCAAAGATTTGTTGAGTTGTTTCGTTGCTCTCTTGTTCGAATCCTTTGTCTCTGTGGCCGGATTAAGTATGAGATAGAAACTGGAGAGTTGACAATACACGTGTCCTATAGGAATGTACTATATGTGAGCACAGTGCAATGTAGTGTTCCTCCTATGTTTGGGGTATGTCTCAGAAAAGGCTGTCCCTACATATAACAAAGGTTAGAGCATACAATTCTTAAAGTACTATGTATTATCATTTTAAATAAATCTGTAAGTTGTATTATAATGTAAATTTAATATTTATGATAGTGGTATTTTGATTATCCTATCTAATAAAAGAGTAATATGCAAATTGACTGCCACTCCAAGACACAAGATGCCCCATGTGGTCCAAGATAGCTGCCCCCATGTGAACACAAGATGGTTGCCACAAGATGGCCTGCAGGGGAGGGCAGTTGTGGGCAGTTAGGGATGACCAGGCCAGCAGAGAAGGGCAGTTGGGGCAAACCAGGCCAGCAAGGGAGGGCAGTTGAGGGGACCCAGGCCTGCAGGGGAGGGCTGTTGTGGGGGACCAGGCCTGCAGGGGAGGGCAGTTGGGGGCAACTAGGCCTTGAGGGGAGGATAGTTAGGGGTGACTAGATTGGCAGGGGAGGGCAGTTGGGGGTGACCAGGTCAGCAGGAGAGGAAAGTTAGGGGCAATGGGGCCAGCTGGAGGATAGTTTAGCATCGATCAGGCTGGCAGGGGAGTGGTTAGGGGGTGATCATCTGGCAATCAGAAGCAGTTAGGAGTAATTAGGCAGAGGTAGGTGAGCGGTTTGGAGCCAGCAGTCCTAGATTGTGAGAAGGATGTGCAACTGCCCGTTTAGGACCAATCCCAAATAGGTGTCTCAGATTGGAGAGCGTGCAGGCTGGGCTGAGGGACAACCTCCTCTCTGCCCCCATGCACAAATTTCGTGCACCGGGCCTCTAGTATAGAATAATATCTTTATTTTTAAGAAGTGAATGCTAACCTACTTACTATAAAAATGCTGTGCAGTTTGCAATTAATTACTAAACGTTTTATGCATGTTTATGCATGTATATATGCATATACACACAGATCAACTATGATAAATGTAAGAATTATTGAATCATTAAGTGGGAATACCATTGTAGTGCCTCTTACAGTATCCTAGCACTTTTTCCATATGTTTGAAATTTAGCATAATCAAAAGATGCAAAAAAAAGCAAATTGAAAAGAGATATTAATTAATAGTAAAAAGTTTAAGCCAAATTTTGACTGCTGGATTGCACAAATCAACTATATATTTATTTTCCATAGAACAGAAGAAAATAAAAATAGTACTGGGTTTGAGAAAAGATTCAATGAGATCAAAAAACACTACATTGAGTGAATTTTTTTACTTATAGCTACAAAAAGAATTTTTAAAGTTTCAAATGTTCTCCAAAATATAATATAGAATAAAAATCATATCAAGATAATATGAATAATTTTCAAATAACTTAAGATATTTCAAAATAAAAGTATTTTAAAATGAGAACCCAAACAACCTTTTAAATATTACAAGTCTCATATAGGCACAATTCAAGCATGTCAAACAACTATAATTAAAATTGTCTTCTGGGTTTTCATAAAAATTATATTAAAAGATAGATTAATTTTTCTAACTGAATTTTTCTAACCAAGTCTGGTATAATTACTCTATGGATACTTTACATTTTGCAACTTAATATTTGCAACTGGAAATGGTAGGCAACTGAATATAATGCTCAAGAGTGAAATTTGGCCTTCCTCGGAATTGAATTTTGGTCCTGACTCAGACCCTTCCTGGCTGTGTGACAACAAGCAAACTATATAACCTTCTAAACCTCAACCTCCACATTTGTAAATCAAAATTACTTTAGTATCTACCCTCTTGGAGTTCTTGGGAGGATTCAAAGAGTTAATATCTCCAAAGCACTTAACCCAGGTCTGGTACATAGTAAACACCACAAACCTGTTGTTTAAATAAATTAACTAATGAAATAAAAAGTATGAGCAAATCTTTAATTTCTAAATAAGCTCATTTGTGTCCAGAAAATCCAAGTTGATCAGAGAGACATTATAGCATTTAAAGAGTATATTTTCTTCTAAATTAATGCAAATTGAAACCAATACAACCATACCTGTGGTATGTCCAAGTTTTTCAAAGGGGTTTTGTGTAAGGTCAATTGTTCTATCAATTTGAAAGATATTTAAGTCTTCATCATCTAAGGCAATATCACCCCAAAACACAGCTAAAAAAAGAAAAGTTCAATTAAAATGTAAAATATTTAAAAGCAAAATCAATGCAAACAAGGTTCATTAAAAGACCAGCATAAGCTTCCCTATTTATTTGAGTCCAAAATTAATCAATTACTAAGTACTATCAGAAATCAACATATAATAACTTTAGAAAATCACAAACTTAGGAGAAAGAATAAATTAATCATGAGATAGTACAATATTGACAAATGCCTTGAAAGATTTAGGATACTTGTTTTTTTTAATACAATTTTACAAATTTTCTTTTTAAAATTTTTGCTTTAAATTTTTCTTCTGCAAAACCAAAAGTAAGGTAATGCATGAAAAACGTAGGAAGTGACAATATCCAGGCTTTTCAAATCACTGTCCTTTACTGGATTCAAACTGTAATACTTAAGAATTTTAGCTATAAAAAGCTAGTTAATAAAATTAGTTACTTTGTGAAATTTAAACTTTAATCCTGAAAGTTATACAATGCTTTAGGCTTTGACCAAAGGTTTAGCATATAAAATTATTTACCCAGTTTAGTTCCCTCATAAAAATACTGATGTGCGATAAGGGATTAGGTTTATGTGTAAATCCAGAAAGAAAGGAAATAAAAATTAGTTCAATGTAGTTTATCAGTGCCACATACAGAAACATTTTTATTAGAAGCAGAATTCTCTCATTAACCCCTCTCTTCCGCCATCATGTCAATGGAATGGCAGCCTGTGGAAGGAAAGAGCTGCCTCCTATCTTGTACCATCAGAGAAACAAAGTCATGAAGAGTCTGTAAAACAGTTTATAGCACTGGCTGAGCGGTTGCTCGGTACCTAAAATTGAATCCAGATTCTAATCAGTCTCCTTCACATGCAACAGAAACCTCTGATGCTCCACTCCCCCTAAAGCCAGACATCCCAGGAAATAGATGGCCTGCCTAACTAAAATATTTTGTCACTATATAAAAGGCTTGTTAGTTTTCATAAAAATAAATTTTGCATTGTCTCTTCTTTTTCAAGATTTCACACTACTTTAATGTAAATCCAAGTTTAGTAATTCGTTAAACCTTCCATCACGTGTCTTTATTATACAAATTGTTGTGGGCACTGACTGGCAGGGACTCAGCCTGGCTTGCTTCCTTCCTGCTGGGGGGCAGCTAGCGACACCAATACTTCTCTAGCATTCATTTGCATGGGAACCACAGTGGATCTGATTAGAGAGAGCTGGTCTGGAGAGAGGTCTCAAACCCTACATTTTTAACCAGCTGCCATTAGTACAAATAATTACCATTGTCAACATCTTTATTAATAGTATTCCCACCCCCCCCTGCAAGAATAAACTTTTACTTTCTTCTGAATCAGCTGGTTGACTTGAAAGCTGAGGCATTCAACCAAACAAAACACAGTTTGTCAGTACTACACTTATATAATAAAAGTAGTACGGTAAAATAAAACTTAAATGTGTTTTAGATTTTTATTTTCTTGTAATGACTTTTCACGTGCAATAAGGTTCATGTCTTGATGGATTATATCAAACACAGATCAGCAATCCAAGGATACAATACTTCACAGAAACAGAAACATTACTTCTGAAGAAAAGAGAAGGCACCAGGCCAGATAATTCTTAAGAGGAGACAAAACTTTTCTGGAGCACATAAGCTCATTTTTTATTTGTCATTTTTTTTCTCTCAACGAATAGCTTCAGAATAGTTGGGTGGTTCTGAATATGCCAAGAATTGCTTCAGGAGAAAACCAAATATTTCTTTGAAAACAAGTAGTGAGTGACTAAGCCAATTCATTTATGGCGTGTAAACCTGATAGCCTGTAAGTCTTATCTATCTTTAAATTTTGATACTATCAATAAAATAATAGACATGTTGGGATTTTCAATCTATTACATAGGGTTTTTTTTTAATTATTTATTGATTTGAGAGGGTAAGAGGAAAGGAGAGAGAGAAAGAGAAACACCAATCTTTTGCTCCACTTATTTAGGCATTCATTGCCGATTCTTGTATGTGTCCTGATTGGGATCAGACCTGCAGCCTTGGCACATTGGGACAATGCTCTAACCGATGGAGCTACCCAACCAGGGCAGCTGTCACAAGATTAAAATGCACAATTTCTTTCTTTATATTACACATGTTTAAAGTTTTCCTTAAGGTGTTTTCTTCATGCTAAGATATTTTTACTTATCATTGGTATAACATATTAGATCAAGACAATTTATATTAATGTGGATTTAGAATTTGCATTATAATCTAATGTATATTTGTTATTTAGCTCCAAAATATTTGTAATTCTCAAGTGCACTTTGGAGTTCTCTGTTTTTCTTTCTACAAGGTATTTTCTATTTATTTTGCATTAAAAAACAAAACTAGAAAGAAATGGTTTTAAAACTATGAATGATAACTCTTGTGCTCCATTTCACATAGTGACTTGAGGTTAGTGATAGCAGAACTTGAAGCTAATATAGGAAACTGGTTATAGATGACAATACTGGGGAAAGGCTCAAGTACAATTAGAATATTTCCTATCTGGAATTCTGCTTGGATGCCTATGGTCAAAAATGGGTTGAGAGCTAACCAGTAATTCAAAATAAAATGTCAAAAAGAACAATTTTTAAACTACATGGAAAACCACAGGTTTTGTTTTTCTCCTGAAGACTGTTTGCATTCATCGTACTACAATTTTTTTTTATCATAGACCAAGAAAGACAGAGTTCCTTTACTGTAGAAGACAGAATAAACACATTTTAGAAAAGAGTGTTTGTAACTTCACATCGAGTCTGTTCCACTCACTTCCTTAGCCCTTCAGTTTTGAAGCTGGGGTCCAGGGACCAACTTAAGGGAGGCTTCCAATCTGTGATTTCCTAAAAGCTGTCTGCAAAAAATATGCATGAGTTCATAAACACAGTCACCACATGTTTTGCAGGGGAAAGGTCACTGGTGGATCGATCACTCAAAGTAGAGAACCTCTACTGTTGCCAAAAGCAGAGCCTTTCAGTCGACTCGGGAGAAAATACTTGCAAACTAAATACGCTCAAAAAGATGAATCTATTTACTTGAATTAACGCTATGACACCTGCTAGCTGATTACTGCTTCAGAGCAGCTCTAATAGACATGTGGCTAAGAGTCTCCTCAGGCGTCAGCTACAGAAAGCCCTCCCAGCATCCTGGTGTTCGCGACCAACCATTAGGTGTCTCATCTGTTTCCATGTCCTGCCTGCACTTCTCTCAGAAATAAAGCACTACATGAGATTTCATAATATGTTTTCAACCGTCTGAATCCTCAATCTAAATTCAAAAATACTGACTGCAGGAAGCATGTGCTGCTCATCAGTTACCCTCATGGCCAGAGGGCCTGAAAGAAAGTAGGACCTCAATATATGTCCTAAGGCACAAAGAACCTGTAAATAAGAAAATGCCAGGGAATGGGGGATACGTTGTGTACAGCAAAAAGGAGGCTAGCCATGCTAGATACTTTACAAATTTACCTTAAGACTCAAAAATACTACATATTCAACCATTCCAAAGAAGGAGTATTTCAAATCCTTTCCATCTAAAATGGGTTGTTTAATAAATAAATAAAAACCATATAATTAAAAGGCAGCTGCCTTTCGTTTTTATTTCGGTAGAATATATTAAGTGCAGTTATGGGAAATGTGCCTCCTTTTCTTGAAGCCCCACACTGATATGCTCAGAAAATGCATGAGTGAACTAAACAGATCAAATATCATGAGATTTATGGGATTTGGAGAGAGACGTAGCTCAAAGACTCCACAATAGCCAAGAGCACTTTCTTATTATACTTTTTCCATATAGAACTTAAACTTTCTGCTTTTATTGATATTGGATTTGGGGAGGAAGAATTATGTCATGTGAAGGCCTGCTCTAGTCTCCAAGAAAGGCCTAGTGAAAATCTCCTCAGACAAGAGCAACAGTGAAGGCTCAAAAGTCAAATATTTTTACATGATTGACAACCTCTAAGAAAATTCCCAAGGAAAAGTAAGATCTAGTGAAACATCTAATATATACATTTTGAGACAATGTTTCCCTACTTAATAAAGAAAATAATTTTCTGGTGTCATTTTATATGCGCAGAATAATTTTTTCTTGCATGATGATACAAATGAAAGTTAACTTAAGTTCCAAGAATCAATTATCTAAATTTTAAAAGCTCTTGATACAATATAAAAATAAAGAAAGATACATTTTTATATAGACTCTCAAAAAGTAGGGATAAGAATGTTTCCCATCCAGAACATTCCTTTCTTAAATTTCTAATAATAAAAAGTACTTGCAATCCAATTATTTCAGTGATTTTTCTTTCATTAAGAAAGTATCCCACGTAGTGTTTTATTTAAATAATTTACAGGTTTTTTTCAAGATCTGCATTTTCACTTCTACCATATACCATCACAAACTGAACAAATTCATCTAAACTACAATTAAAGAGTGGTGTGCATGCAGTTAGTTACAAATGATGAGCTCAATAAGATGTACAACCTTTTCCTCATAAACTGAATTAAAAAGCGCTTCTGAGTAACATGACTCTTGTGGCCACTTTAAAACAAGATGCCTTTATCACCAAAGTAGATTTTTTTGAAGTGGGAGTAGGGGATATGGTGCAATATCTGTTATTAAAATAAAATAAATAAGTAAACTGTCCAAACATACTCCAAATTTAGAGTTCTCTTCAAAGAACACAGAACTGCTGCAATTCTTCAATTCTTTCCTGAACATGAAATAAAATATAATCTCAATACAAAAGTAAATGTTTGATCTGAAATACAAAACAAATAAATATGCATATACATATATATACTACTCTAGAGCAAGGAATATTCCTCCAAAATATGGAGGCATTTTATAATAAAGTTATTTTTCATGATATGGATGAGTTGAAGATTAATCTAGATTGTGAGCAGAGAAGCAGCAAGTTGTTTTTTTTTAATCTTTTTTTTTCTGTTTCAAAAGCAAATTTGCACTACAAATATGATTAAATGTTAAGTTTTC